GGGCGGCACGTTGGAGAGCGCGCTGAGCATCGTGCCGCTGCTGGCCGACAACAAGGAGAAGCGAGGCCTGGCGCTGGACGGGCGCCTCAAGGACGAGGACACCAACCTGGCCTCCACCACCATGTAAGGAAAAAAAAGGCCAAGCGACTCTGAAATGTCCCCAAATCAACAAGATTTGCGTCGGGTGGAAGCGGAGCGTTTCCTGCCGCCCGGCGACCTTCAATTGCCAGCCGCCGTCATGACAAAGGGCCCCCCCGTCGCCCATCGGCACAGCTTTGGAGGCGAAGAGAAAGCTCGGCCGCCGAACCGCGTCCAAATGCCGAGAGCTCGGACGCGTCCAGGCACCGCGGCGGAGGAACGCTTTTGCGTTGCTGTCGCGCAACGGCTAAAATTTGTTTCCAAGAAAGGCTGGAAAGTCGTGTTTTCAAAGGTCTCGCGCCCCACGGAAGGGCTCGGCAACGCGGCTTCCGAAGCACGCGTCGCTCCGTCGCGCTTTGGGGCGGATCCGCATTTTCTGCTGTTGCTCAAAGCTCAGTCCCGGCGGATCTTTGACGTCCGAGCTCGTCGGCCTTTCCCGTGACAACTGCGGGAACGCTTTGCTAACGATGCTAACTAGAACGAGTGGACAAATGGTGAGCATTGGGAGGAGTTTTTTTGTGGTTGTTGTTGTTGGCACGCCTAAGCCGCGAAAGCGAAGGCGTCGCTTCGCTGTCGTCTCGCGAGCAATGGCGCACCGGCGGTCGGCCCGCTTTTCAAGCGGGGCGAGAAAGAAAGTTGATCTGGCGCGCTTCTCATGGCCGCGCCGCTCGCGTCCAATGTCTCCAGGTTGCGTCCGGGCGTTGAGAAGGAGGTGCTGGGAATTCTGGTGTCCTACAAGGTCAAAGTCAACCTGATGGTGGCCGGAGGAGGGTGAGTGCCGGGATGCCGCTTCCTTTCCATCCCCGCCGCGTGAAGTGCCCCCTGACCGGTGTTTTGTGTTCCCGCAGGCTGCTGGGAGGACTCACTTCCAGGTGAAGCCGCCTCGCTTCCCGCTCGGCCTCGACTCCGCTTGACTGTTGTTTGCTTTCCTCGGCAGCGACGTCACCGCCGAGCTGCCGCTGATGCTGATGCACCCCAAGCCGCAAGGTGACGTGTCGCGCCGCGACCCGCCGCCGCGGCACAAGTGAGCCCACCCCGAAGTGAAAATGTGTCCAAAACGGGCCCGAGGTGTCCCGAGCCGGCAGATGCCGCGCCGAACCCGCGGCGAGCGAGAGCAAGAAGGCCCACGCGGCCCGTTCGCGCCCGAGACCTCGCTCGGCGCACTTGCCAAATATTGAGACAGGTTCCCAACGAGGGGTGCGCTCACTTTGTGTCTCGCTCGTGCTTTCCGCCGTTGTGCCTGTGGCTTGACTTCCTGTTCCAGCAAGCCAGCGTGCCGTTTGGCTGAGCGCCTCACTCACGCTTCTTTTCCTCTCTCCTCGTCTTCAGAGTAAAATCTCCGCGACCACGTAAGTACTCATCGTATGTATGCGTGCGTGCGTGCGTGCCTCGACCTCATCCCCAAAGATGACGCAATCGCGTCGACTTGATGAAGTCGTCCTCGACGATGACGAGATCTCACGCTGTCGTGGGACGCGCCGGGCATTTGCTCATTGTCGTCACGTCGCGCCGCGCGATTGTGCTCGGTGACCCCGACCGGTGGCGTCGCCACGAGTGGCGCGTGCTCATTGATGCCCGCTTTTCACGGGGACGTCAACCCCGACGCGTTGCGGACAATCGAGTGTTCCGCGCGCCTCCGGCGGTCCGAACGCGGCGTCGTGCCCCCCGGTTAGACGAGCGGGAGGCGCCGAGGCCCTCGGGCCGTCAAGAACATTTTGGGGGTTGACCTCCCCGTTAACGGGGGCACCCGACACGACGACCGCCGTGGATGACCCGATGTTGAAAGACGATTTGTCCACGTAGCGCACACGTGATGAATGCATGTTGAAATATCGCCACGTGTTCAGAGACGACGTCGGCCCGCAGGTGGACAGAAACGCCGACAGGAAGTGAGGCGGCGCAAGACGGCGCCCGAGGAAGACGAGCCGTCCGACGCGCACGCGCGACTCCTTTTGTCGCCGTGGGTGCACCGTTTTCCTTTCGCTGCATCGTTCTGTCCAATTAAACATTTCAACCTGCGTGTGACTTTTTGCGTTTGTTGGCTTCTCCCAAAAGAGTTCACGTCACCAAGAAGGGCAAATCAAAACCGACTACTTGCCTTGCTTCACGTTAAACTCGCGACACTTGTTTGGGTTCATGAGAATGTTTCTCAAGAGGATTTCTACAGATTTGCCATCACACCAGCTCACGTTACACACGAACGTGTGTCTGTGCTCAAGGGGGCTAATGCAAGGATGCAAGGTCACAAGTGAGGAAGCGCAGGAGAGGATGCGGGAGCTGCAGAAGGAGATGCAGAAGGAAGTGAGGGAAAAGGCAAGGAGGCGAAAAAGAAAGCCAACGATGGGCGCAAGGACAAAAGGAGCTGGGCGAACAGGGAAGGAGAGCGTGCTGGCAAAAGCGAGAAGGAAGCAGGCCGCGGCAAGGATGCAAGGTCGCACTTGAGGAGACGAGGCGAAAGAGAGAGAAGGGCGCGAGGGGGAGTCGACGCGACGCCACGCCACGCCACGCCGCGGCGGGGAGGGGAGGGGAGGGGAGGGGGCGCAGGCGGCGAGCGACCCGGGCCGCCGAACCGAACCGAACCATCCATGGGCGGCTGCGTGGGGAGCCGGCACGACTCCTCGGGCAGCTTGAACGACAACTCGGACGGAACCGGAGGTAACTTCCTCCCCGGCGCCGAGCGGGGGCCCCTTCGACGACGGGCGCAGGGTTCGAGCGGGCTCTCCTCCGGGCGGGCTCGCCCCCTTCCCCGCCGAGGCGAGCAGAGGCGCTCCGAACTCAAGGTGGCGGCACAGCGGCGCGGAGCGGCTCTGCTCGGCTCGGCGGGTCGCGTGGCGACCGGTCGGTCTTTGTTCACCTCGCGTGTGAGGCTAGTTAGCATGCTAGCCGGCTACATGCTAGGTGTTACGAGTTGATTCTGGCTCGTTTTCGAGCGACCACATCGGAATCGTCAAGTCTTCCGGCGTCCGTGCAGTGAACGCGGCCGCGGTTTCCAACTCGCCACGCGAAAGGTGCTGAAAGGAGCGACGAGTAACGAAGTACAAATAGCCGGCGACCGTCGAGAAGGCGATTCTTCGGGCGCTCGCTTGAAAATGTCCATTTTGGACGGACAATTAGATTTGGAAAGGACCAAATGTACTTTCAACTCCTCGGCCTGCTCAAGTTGGCTCGTGCCCTTTTTTTTCACTCGATTTACTTGATTGACACGACAGTACTCGGACGTCGCAGCAGGACTACACGCTATTTAGGACATCTTCACGAAACCCACTTTTCAAACTGTGTGTATGGCACTTGAAACATGAATTGGAATCCCCAACAGTTGTTTGATCCTCTCACCCTTGCTAAAAACACCAATGGACACCCTAACCCTGACTTAAAACCTAAATTTGTGAGCCTCCCCCAGGTTTGATGTCTGACTTCAGAACCTCACCAGTCGTTTTCGAGATTCTTAGCGTGCGACGCACCCCCAACACACACGCGCAAATTGAAGTATGACGATATTGACGAGTCCCGCACCTGCGCGTCCAACGTGGCCCGCCGTCTTGCGTTCGAGCGTCAGACGGGCGGGCTCGCTAAGCAACAAATGTCCATTTTTGTTGGGGTCAGTGGCCCTGGGGCGCAACCAGCCGCTCAAGCGCGAGCGGCCCAAATGGAAAAGCGACTACCCCATGACAGAGGGCCAGCTGCGCAGCAAGCGCGACGAATTCTGGGACACGGCGCCGGCGTTCGAGGGCCGCGCGGAGATCTGGGACGCCCTGAGGGTGGCCGCCGCCGCCTTCGAGAACCAAGACCACCAGCTTGCCCAGGCCATCCTGGACGGCGCCAGCATCACGCTGCCGCACGGTCAGTTGGGCGCGCCGGCAAGGCTTCTGCCCACTGCTTTGGGCAAAGATGAGCAAATTTATGCCAGTTGTTTTGATTGATTGATTTCCCCATAGAGGGCTTCCTTTTCTATGTTACGTTGTTCCTGTTTTTTTTTGTTTTGTTTTGATGGGGGAGGTGGGAATTATTCATTCAATGAAAACCAAAGGACAATGTCTTGAAACCAGTCAAATGTTCAGCCTGTTCGTTGGTATCGTTCCTCTTCTAAGCATTCAAGGACCAAAACGTTTATTTGATGAATTGGCCCGTTAATAAGCCAAATGTTTTCATTGGCCTCCGAAATCCAGATGGGTTCAGCCTTCGTCATTTTCCACAGTTGGCCTATTTCATTTTTGGGTTTGTTTGTTTGGTCCCATTTCAACGTTTGTCACTTTGCTGACATTTTCTGGGTCTGTTTGGCACGGCAGGCGCGCTGAGCGAATGCTACGACGAGCTGGGCAACCGCTACCAGCTGCCCGTCTACTGCCTGGCGCCGCCCGTCAACATGATCGAGGAACGCTGCGACGAGCCCGACGCCTCCGACCGGGACTCGGGGGGCGCCGACTCGGACGGCGGCGGCGGCGGCCGGCGGCTGCGCCTGCGCCTCTCCACGGGGCGCGACCTGCGCCTGCGCGTGCGGGCGGCCGACACGGTGGGCGCCATGAAGCGGCGCCTCCAGGCTCAGGAAGGCGTGCCCGCCGCCGCCCAGCGCTGGTTTTTCTCGGGGCGCCCGCTCACCGACAGGCTGCGATTGGAGCAGATCAACATCTCGCGGGATTACGTGGTGCAGGTGGTCGTCAGCCAGCCCCCGCCGGACGGCGCCCCCGCTCGAGAAACGTGGCGCCAACCCACTCCCGTGGACGCTTGAAGGCGGCGCGGGAAACTTTTGGCCGCCCGCCACGTGTCACTCTGGCCACCGCAAGCACAAGATGGACCCCATTTGCGGTGTTGTTGCCGTGACGAGAAGGTGGCGACATGCTTCATGACAAAACCCGACGCTGGATGAAAGGCTTTTCTTGTCGCTTGACTGCACAATGGTGGGAGAGAGAGAGAGGCAGGCGTGCGCCAAACGCTTGGAGCGGATGACTCGGCAGGTTTTGATTTAGACGTCGACTTTTTCGAAAAAAATTAAAAAGCATTTTTCTTTGTACTCCTCTGCAGCTCGTCCTTTCTTTGAGCCAGAGCGCCTCTGTGTCGCCTCCACTTCATGAGATGAGTTTGAACGGTCGAGGCGCTCGCAGCTCCAAAAACACGCCACGTTGCTCTCACAAATGCCGAAGGAGAACGGAGGGGGAGAGAAGCCCAAAAAGTCGTCCGGAATTGCCGGCGGATGCCGCCGGCGTCCCGCCAACTTTGCCTTCTGCGTGCGCGTTCGAGACGAGGACGCCAGCGGGCCGCGCGGCGTCGGGTTTGTCGTTTTGAGAAATGTCCTTCTCCTGCGGGGCCTCGTTTCTTTCTTTCAGCTTGCGGATGAGCAAAAGGCCGTCCCGGACCACTTGGGGCCAGAGGCGGGAACGCCGCTCGGAGGCGAGGAACGGAGGAATGAAAATCATCCCGAACAGATGAAACTTGGACAAGACGCATCCACGCGCGTCGCCGACGGACCGCAACGGTGGCAAAAGAGCAAGGAAAGGAATCGCTCAAGAGGTTGGGTACAAAAAAAAGTTTTTTTTTTATTCATGTATACGCACGCATTCCTCCGGCTGTTTCCGTGACAACGTGCGACACTTTGCTGTACTGGCTCGGTTTCGTCGGCGCTGTCGCCGCATGGTGTTGTTGCGTTCGCATTTTTCTCGCGTTGCGCCGCCGCATGGCGCGGGCAACGTCACCGCGTTTGTGTGTTGTTGTCGCTGCGTTCCGTTGTGCGTGTGTTTTTGTCGCTTCGCTTGCATCTTGTGGCGTGTTGTTTGTGTCGCTGCTTTCATGCTGGGGCGTGCGTGTGCATCGTTGTGGCCGGAAGCGCCGGGGCGCTGACTGCGGCGCTGCCTTTCGTGTCAGGAGACTGGACGTGGGGGTGTGCGCGAACACACACACACACAGTGCATGTGTGCAGGGGGTGGAGTTCAGCTGCAGGAATTGTTTTTCCAGTGTGCTGCTGTGATGTCGTCATTGTGGTCAGTGTTGCTGCCTCTTGGACAGGTACCTACACACACACACACACACACACACACACAGACACACACAGGCAGACGTGAGTGTGTCGTGAAAAAAAATGTAAACAAAAAACAATTGCACTGCATTGTATACGTGGCGCTCCAAAGTGAAAAAGAAAAAAGAAAAGACCGCCGCGACCATGACACCAGACATTTGGAACGCCAAACTATCCACGGGGAGCTCCTGTCCTATTTGCCGCGATGTCGTCTCTCTGAATCTGAGCAGGTCAGGTCCCGTTTGAGCGAGTGTTGGGGCCCTGCTTTGTTTTGCACGGGTTCCGCTTGGATTTCTTTGCAGGCTGCGACAACAGCCGCCGGAAAGGACTTCTCCGCAGCGGAGCAGCTTCCAGGACTGACACCGAGACCGATACGCCGGCGCCGCAAGAAGGAGAGGTAGCGCCGCTCCTTCCTGCCCACGATTGAAAACCTGGACTCACCCTCACTCGCCCATTTTTGATTTGCTTAGATTTATATTCGCTATTTATTGCTCTACTTTTTGTCTTCTACTTTGTCCCTTTCCTCATTTCGCTGCTGTAAATTGGGGAATTTCTCCATTGTGAGACAAATGGAGGCCAACTTTGTTGTAGCCTAACTTGCCGAGCGCGCGTGGATGTCGTTCGCGTCGGGGCTTGGCGGCGCTTACCTCTCCCAGTGTTTGTGGTTGAGGGCGCTGAAGTCGTCCAGCGTGGCGATCTCCTTCAAGTACTCGCTCAGCTTCTGGAGCTCGCGGTCCTTCTCGCGGTTCACGTGCGCCTTCATGAAGGGCCGGATCTGCGCACACGCAGACGCGCGCCGCCCTGAGATGGCGGTCAAATTGGGTGCCAACGCCCACAATTTCAGACGCTCAGCAAAATAGGCTAGCGGACCGCTTCTCGTCCAAAAGAAAATCAATCCTTCACGTTTGGGCCAATTTGACATGGGCGCGAGCGACGGATGGAAAGGCGGGCGGCCGCCTACCTTGAGCCCGTTCTGCGGGTTCATCAGGAAGTTGCGCCCGATGTCATCCAACATGATGGTGTTCTTGCGGCTGTAGAAGCGCTCGTACTTGCCCCAGATCACACCCAGCGGCTTGACCTGCGCCGCCGCATCGTCAGCAACACAAACATGGACACGCTCCACACTCTTTCCGACAACTTGCCGGGAGATACACTTAAAAAGAAACGGCGGGTGGGTGTTTCATTCAGGTTTCGCCGCCAAAGTTTTTTTCCGGTCGTTTTTTTGTTCCCAGATTGTGGTGAGTTCCGGCCCCATTCGTGTGATGAATGGGGCTCGACCCGACACGATGCCGGCGGAGCAAGCGAGGAAGGAATTGAAGTGAGCACGCAAGACGCCCAACGGCTCACCTCAACCACGCCTCTTTTGGGCGTGTGCACAGTGATCATGGCGGCGCTGTCCAGCATGAACGTGATCTTGTAGTTTGGGTTGTTTCGCCCGCCCAGCTCCTGAGAGACACACACACGCACACACACACAGATATACCGTTCTTAGTCCGGCAGTGTCGCGTTGTCGCTTTGCAGCCACCTTTCGGCTCCATCTTGCCAAAAGGAGTCACGCCGTCGCAGCGGCGCAAAAAGGCCACCGACCTTCATTTTGGCGTCGATCCACTTCATGCTGGTGGCGGCTGCAACGGGGAACAAACGGCATTGATACGACGGCATCGTACCGATGGCGCCGTCACGACGAGCTTATACGTACACCAGATGACGATGTCGTAATCGGCGTAGGCCGACGTCAGGAACTCGTGCAGGTACGGCCTCATCAGCTCCTGGCCGCTCTCCGCGCACGACTTGTGGTCTACGCCAAACACAAAAGGCGCGCCGAGGCACGATGAGTGCGCCTCGCGGCGGCGCGTCTCCCGGGGGCTGGCGCTCACCAAACAAAGTGTAGTCCACGTCCAGCACCAGAAGTCTCTTGCCTTCCCTGGGGGAGTTCATCTCCTCCACCTTGTAGTCTTTGACGCGGCGAGCGATCTTGGCCAGGTTCTCCTCCCTGCGGCGAGCACGTGCTTTTGACTTCTTATTTAGCTTTTGGCCCACGTCGCACGTTGTTCCTTTTTGCGACCGCAGCGTGACCTTTCGGAACCGCGTCTGACCTGTTCTCCACTTCGATGACCTCCTCCTCGATGTCAAAGTCGTTGACCACGTCGTCGTTCTCGGGCGGAGGGGCCAGGACCTCCTCCTGCGCAAGAGCAAAGCGAGTCAGACCGCCACCAGGAGGAGGAGACGGTCAAAGAGGGGGCGAGCAGCTGACAAGAGGAAGACCGGGGAGAACGAGAAGAAAACAAAGGGAAGACCAAAAACCTCGTAGGAAGGAAAAGGAGAAGGAAGACAACCAGGAGAGGAGCTACGCGGATGGGAGAAAAAAATGGAGTCCTTTCTAGGAGGAGAATGCGAAAAAGGGGGAGTAGCAGAAGAAAAGGATTGGGGGGGCACGCGAGCGGCAGAAGGCAGCGTCTTACCAGGCCCTCCTCCCTGGTGCCCATCATCATGATCTTGGTGTTGGGCTTCAGCTTGAGGGAGCCCAGCTTCACCTGGTCCTCCGCCGCCTTCCCTGACGTCACAAGGCCGAGACGAGAAGCGCGCGTGAACTCGACGAGAGCGATGGCGCCGAATCGGCGCTTGAGGCAGCAACGGCGTCCACTTTACCTTTGACCTTGAGCCCGAGCAGCTTCTGCCTCTCGGGCAGCACGCCGGTCAGAGCCTTGATGGACTGCTTGAGGTCCATGACGGTGTCCTCCTCGGACAGCGACGTGATGGCGTATTCTTGGCCCCCCCACTTGATGATCACGGACACGGACATGGCTCGATCACGCGCGCGCTCGCGCGCGCTGCGGAAGCACAAGGGTGAGACGCGGCCGGCCGTGTTGATGTTTTTAGCCGAGGAGGCTAACTGCCGGCGAGCAAAGCGGGCGGCTAACCGCTAACACGAGCCGCCGGCGAGCCCGCTGTGACTTACCTCGCCCGGCGGAGCGAGTTAGCGCATGAGACGCGGGACAAACGGCAGGCGGAGCGTCCGATCGCTTAGTCTGCTTCGTTCGACGACGCCAGCGAGAAGGTGACGAACCTTCCCTCTTCCGACACACACACACACACACACACCTTTAATAAAATCAAAAAAAGACGGGAGCAAAGAGCGTGTTCCTGGCTTGGCGCCTTCCGCCGGCAGTGACGTCGAGACAAAGCCCCGTCGTCACGGCAACGCCACGCTCTCACCGAGCCAGCTCGTCTGGGTCATTGGCAAAGTTGACTGAGCTCCAAATTACTTCCAAACTTCGAAAATACTTCCTGCGGGGGTTCACCTGTGCTCAGATACGAAGAACAAAAGTATTTCTACCTCGGACCTTAAACGGAAAAGAGTCTCCGGTGTTCATGAGTAGCATCTACTCCTTTCTTTGATTCGGGGACGATGCTCCACCACGGTCGAACCTCTCCAGAATGATCATGTATACATTTTGTCAAGTGAAAAAAGACAAGGAAGAAACGTGCCTGTTTGTGCTATGTTGCCACCTCGTATGGCCTAATTGTGCCAGTCAGTGCCACGTAGCCGCCCGCGATTGTGTATTCCAGGTACACTATTGACAATTTCTGAAGTTCACGTGGGACCAGCCAACACAACGTTGCCAGTTGTTTGTTTTCATAAACTATAGTTTATGGAATAAATTCATTTGTTGTCCCAATTAGGATCCATTGTCTGGCCGTTGCACGTGAAACATGTTTGCGATTTCCTTGAAGTCAATCATTAACATTAGGCTGAGCTCTTTTGTGAAATACTCATTGGCCAAATTCAGGTCAAACTCAAAACAAAACAAGAACCTGCTTAAAAGCACAAAGAAAATCCCGGGCCTATTCCCTCCCAGTATGGTCAACAAAACAATGTCTTGTACTGATGTCGTGCATTGGCTTTCAAGTGCGATGTCAACTGAAATGGGCTCAAGAGTTGAAAGTTGGGGGAAGGAAGTGAACTCGGGCAAGCGGCCCGTCCGCCCCCACGCGCGGACTCGCCGTAGCCTGGCAGCGACTGCGACTGCGACTGCGACTGCGCATGCGTACTTGCGCACTCCAGGCTCGCGTCGGGCTGCAGGCGGAGGCTGCCTTCTTAGGATGGCGTCTGGGCGAGATGCTGGAGACGCGCGGATCGGCCGCCTCCTGTGAGCTCGACGAGGCTCGGTTCGGGCTTGGCCCGGCTAAAATGCTCCGAGCCCCCACCGGGCAGCTCCCCGCCGAGGCTCCGACGCGCACTCGAAACGCCGACGGCGGCCTTCGCTCGTAAGTTGGACATTGTCCGCCATTTTGAACCTGTCAAACTGCGCGCTAGCCGGCTAAGCTAATCTCAGCCAAAAGAAGCTCGACGAAGCTAAAGCCGCTTTGCCGAAGCGGCGACCAAAGCGCCGCTCAAGCTGTTTAGCCTCTGAGCGCCTGTGCCGAAATGTTTTACTTTCGGGTGTTTCCGCTGAAGCATGTGTGACTTGTGTTTTGGTGACGTCACTTTCTTGAGCGAGCTAACTAAGCGGCTAGGCTAGCCGTTAGCTGGAGCGGTTGGCTCCGTGCTCGTTGCGGACGTTGTAGTCTTCGGTGTTGGCGTGCAGTCACGATGAAGTGACGCAAGAGAATTGTTGTTAATTGGGGTTTGAACTGCTCCAGCGAATTCTTGTGTCGTATCTTCAATGAATACCAGCGAAGCATCGGTACCCAAACAGACAGACCGATCAACCGACGGAGAGGTTACTCGAGTTCATGTGGGCATCGACGCCGGTCGCTGGCGTTCATCCGCCACGAAAACGTCTCCGGTCGCAAACCGAACTCTTGTCGGAGAGGTGCGCGGAAGATGACGTGATCAAAATCCCGCGGACTGCGGTGATGCGACGCGAGGAGCGTCGGCGGCATCATTTTGTTGCTGCGAAGGCGACGCGGCACGCGAGTCGCTTCGGCCTGCCCCAGGCAACGAGCCGTGTCAACACACAAGCCCCTTGGCGTGCCCCAGACCAAAAAGGAGAGGAGGTCCACAAGGCCAATCGTGGGGCATCGGATGTCCTTGGTCAGGGAAGGGCAACATTGCTCTGAAAACACTCTCAAGGACATTTTCGGTGGGGAGGGAATCAATAGAAATGTTGCACTCGTTGCTCATTGACAACTTTTCATATGAAACGTCGACTAGACCCGTCGGCATCTTCTGCTCGGGCCGCATTCTTTCCATCAATCAAATCGTCTGTCAGTCCGTTTTTCAATCAGTCAATGAATCGGATTGTGACAAGAAATCGTTTCCACTGCTCATTTCAAAGCGGCGCGGCCTTTCAATTCTTCAGAATCGGAAGCTTAGTCCCGCGCCGTCGATCAGAGGAGCCATGTGCGTCTGGCGATTTCCATCCATCCGTTCCGTGAGCATTTGCCGACTTTGCCTTTGAACCCGCATGACTTGGCTCCATCCGCCGTTTTGAGTGTCATCGGGCAAGCTTCTCCCAAGGGTCACATGCCGGCCTTGTCGTTGCGCCGCAGCGGCCCCTGCCGTACCGTCCCATCGTAGTGGTGCGGCGCGGCCATGGCGGTGAAGGAGCGCGTGGAGGCGGTGCTGAACGTGGGCCTGCGCGTGCCCAGCATCGTGCTGCTGGACGTGCTGTACCGATGGGACGTGGGCTCCTTCTTCCAGAAGATCCAGCGATCCGGCCTGTCCGACAACCCCCTCTTCCAGTACAAGTACCTGGCGCTCTACCTGCACTACGTGGGTGAGTACCGCACGCTCAGCCGGCGGGGGACTTTGTCTGTTTTGGCGGCAGCCGTTGTTCGAAGCGTGTCTCCGCCGAGCTGTGCGGTTTCCACTAACGACATGGCCGCAAACCGGAGAGGAAAGAATCCGTCCAAATCTGATCTTTAGGGATTTTGTTTGGAGTTTCTCTTGCCCAGCTTGGCTGCTACATCACACAAATGTGTGGGTGTGTGTGTGTGTGTGTGTGTGTGTGTGTGTGTGTGTGTGTGTGTGTGTGTGTGTCTCTCTCTCTCTCTCTCTCTCTCACAGGTTACATCCTGAGCCTGGTGCTTCTCACCCTGCCCCGTCAGCACTTGGTCAAGCTTTACCTCTACGCGCTCACCGCCCTGCTGCTCTTTGCCGGCCACCAGGTGTCCAGGTATGCGCGCGTGCGCCGAAACGGTGCAGACGGGGCGGGGCCTGAAGGCGTCCATTCTGCGGTGTGCTCAGGGATTACGTGCGCGGTGAGCTGGAGTCGGGCCACGAGGGCGCCGTCTACCTGGAGCCGCTCTCCATGAACCGATTCACCACGGCGCTCGTAGGTGAGAGCGAGCCGCCCGGCGTCCTTTGCCACGCCGCTTCTTGCCGTGCCGTCAACAGAGCGCAACGGCTGCTCCTCATGCCGGCCGGTCCGGACCGACGGACGCCCCCCTCAAAACTTCTGCGTCTCGTATCCGTGTGTGTGTGGGTGTGCGCGGGAGGGAGGGACACCGGAGTGCTTTCGGGTCACCGTTTCAAAGATATCGAGGGCCTCGGATATGATGCGGTTCAAGTGAAGGTTTGATGATGGTCGCGGCGTGGGCGTGGGCCGTTGCTGTTCCCAGGTCAGCTGGTGGTGTGCACGCTGTGCTCTTGCGTGATGCAGACCAAACGGATCTGGCTCTTCTCGGCCCACCTGCTGCCGCTGGTGGCCCGGCTGTGCCTGGTGCCTCTGGAGAGCATCGTGTTCATCAACAAGTTCTCCATGATCTTCACGGGCCTGGAGGTCATCTACTTCCTGGCGTCCAACCTGCTGGTGCCGTACAACCTGGCCAAGACGGCCTACCGCCAGCTGGCCCAGGCGAGTGAGCGGCCGACGCCGAGAGCCTGCCCGGTTCGGGCTCGGGCTCGGGCTGAGCTTCTCTCGGGCCTGCGTGTGCAGGTGGTGGAGGTGTACGGTCTTCTGGCTCTGGGCATGTCCTTGTGGAACCAGCTGGTCCTGCCCGTCCTCTTCATGTGCTTCTGGCTGCTGCTCTTCGCTCTGCAGATCTACTCCTACTTCAGCACCCGCGACCAGCCCGCCTCCAGAGAGAGGCTCCTCTTCCTCTTCCTCACCAGGTGGGCGCCGAGCCCGGCCGCGCCGGCGGCGGACCCCGTGTCAACCGTGCGCCCGCGTGTGTGTGCGTGTGACTCCCGCGCAGCGTGGCCGAGTGCTGCAGTACGCCCTACTCGCTCCTGGGCCTGGTCTTCACCGTCTCCTTCATCGCGCTGGGCGTCCTCACCCTCTGCAAGTTCTACCTGCAGGGCTACCGGGCCTTCATCAACGACAACACCATGCACAGGTGGGCCGCCCGCCTTTCGCAGGCGCCCCGCAGTCCCGCGCACCC